CCCCCCCCCCCCCTGTTTATGCTGTCCCGGTGACTATTGGATGCACAAGAAAACTTCTTAGACAAATTTAATTCTTTTATGTAAAATACAATGATCAATATTTAAAAAATATTTAAAAACTTTTAAACAATGAGGGTTGTCAGTCTTAATTTACTAGAACTGTTATGGAAAAGGAGAAAGTCCCCCCCCCCCTCTCTCTCTCTCTCTCTGGGCGAATCTTGTGGCGGATCACGTTTGATAACCTTAAATTACGCATATACACATTCGACGATTGTGTATAGTTAGATTTGCAGAAGCCTTGGAACTTTTTGATTATATCGATCGATTCATTTGCACCGGAATGTTATCAATCATGCGAAACATAAGGAAAAAAAATTATTGACGCGTGCGTTTGATTTGAGATACCATACTTGACTGCTACCAAGAGACACCCGCAAAGTATCCGTCTCCAATTTTGATGAGACTTGACAAACTTGTAGAGTAGCCAAAATTATCCCCTTTCCAGCTCCTTTCAAGTTTTATCGCCTCTATACCATCTCGCCAACTAACGGAGATGCAAGGAAACTTCCTAGCAAATATTTTATGGTTTTTCATGTGAAATGTAGTGACCTATGTATGTATTAGCAGGTAAATATGTCTCAATCAATGAAATTTTATATTTAAATTATACGAACTATATATATCCCTCTTTCTGTTTCTGTGTTCGTATAATTTAAATATAAATAATTTCATTGATTGTTATATGTATATATAGATGAACATACTTCTGTAAGTCGTGCTTGGTGGTATGCGTGAATACTCCACCATTGTTACTACACGATTCACCACCAGAATCACGATTCTCGGAAGTTAATCCGTCTAAACATATATGTGGATGAATAAAAAAAAAGGGGGGGTTACTTTCTCCTTTTCCATAACAGCTCTAGTAAATTAAAGCTGACAACTCTCATTGTTTAAAAGTTTTTAAATATTTTTTAAATATAGATCATTGTATTTTACATAAAAGAATTAAATTTGTCTAAGAAGTTTTCTTGTGCATCCAATAGTCACCGGGACAGCATAAACAGGGGGGGGGGGGGCGATAGTTTAAATCTCCAAAACTTGCATCTTGCCGGAAATATCCGGACTTCGACCGGAAGGGGTTAACTTTATTCTACTCTCTCCTTACGACGAAGGAAGTCATCTTGATTGATGACGTCAGAAACGAGAAAATACGCGTTGAGAATTTTTCCAAAACATTGAAATAAAAAGATGCCCATAAAATGACGCTTGCAACAAAGGAGCAGATTTCTTAAATATTCCAAAAACTTTCCTCTTTTGCAGTAATAATTGATAAATGGTAAAATTAACGTAACAAAATGACACTAATAAAGTAATATAAAGTGGGTTCGGTTAACTCTAACAAATATACGTTATGTTTAATATCTAAAGTTTTATCCGCTTTTCTTTCGCTCGCTCTCGTATTATTACGTAAGTCGATGACGATAATAATTATCTTTGTGCTCAATTTACAACTTACGATAAGCACTTTATGTTCCCCCGAAACTTAACGCTTTTCCCGGTCAGAGCAACAAAGAAAGCCGTAAAACGATAGACACAATCGCGAGCACTTTCATGCCATCCGGTCTTTTTTAGCAGCAACCAAGCGGCATGGAAGTGCCACGATGCCCAGTACATAAATAAACGTCAACGCAGAATAATATAAAAAATCCGGCCACATATGAGAGATGTGAGAAAATTTCATATCGAATCTTCAAACTTAAACCTTCACTGTTAACTCGGTTTGTTCCCTCCTCAGTTTTACACGGTGAAGCCCCGTTGTTGCGAATGAATCGATCGACGTAATCAAAAGATCCCGCCTAATTTCGATTTTTCTATATTATCCCGCGTTCTCTTATACATCGTGATGTATCTTTCCTCGAGAGGAAGATGTATTATTCTCTCTCTCTCTCTCTCTCTTTTCCTGCCGCACACTAACAACTAACGATTACCGCCATGTACAATACACACGAGCCATTTTGCAAAGTATACAATAACGACGAAGCTTTTGTAACGGAGGGAATGTACACGGGGGAATATACATACGTATATACACATAAATAATAAAACAGCGAACACACAGATGATTCCGTTACATAAATACATAACATCAATCTTGTTCGCTGTTTTATTATCGTACCCGCGACATCGTTATAAATAAATACACCGTCGGAGAGCGAACTTGCTATTGTATTTACATTTCATGTCGCGTTTCACGTGCAATTTCAATCCGACTACAGATGTAACGTATATATATATAAGAGCGTACGTTATATATATATATATATATATATAAAGAGAGAAGAAGCGTAATATCGAGAAGTAACTACGTGAGATAAGTCGATGCCTCAAAGGAAAGGCAAATCACGGCTTACTTATCGGATATATCCTTCTTTACAACTTACTTAAAACCATACGACATATATCATCGTTTTAAAGAGCCCAGTCTAGTCAAAGTAATCGCCTTTGTAAAAAAAAAAAAAAAAAAAAGGGAAGAGGAAAAAAGAAGATAAAAAGAGAAATAGAGCACAGTAAATCTAAGGAGTTCCTCCGGAGAGGATTGTTGTTCACGAGTATCGAAATATATCGGGGTAAACTCGGCAGTGAAGTAACGCACTGTACGTGAGCACGTCTCTCTCGAATTTGAAATAGTGCATCATTTACACGCACACGTCTGTATATGAATGTTTTACAGTACGAACGATAGAAATCTCAGCTCCGGGCCGTTCGGTTCCGAATCGAATTATTGTCTAGATTGCGGCCTTATCGGTAAGACGTAATAATGTATAGATTAAGTTACAATAAAGCGTTTTTTTTCCATACACGATCTTGTCAATTCACGCGTCGCAATCGCGTCACTTGATCTGTTTATAGGAACTGCGCGAGGCAATCGGTCGTTCGCTTTCTCCCCTCCGCGAAACCCGAAATGTAAAAGATGTTACCGAAGTTCGCGCGTCGACAAGATCGCAGCGCGGATGCCCATTTCGTTAACGTCGTCGTTTCACCACGACGTTTAGTACAACATTATCGCTGCGGCTGTCTTCTCTTCGAGCGCGGGTATCGGCTCCAGGCGGTCGTCCTTCTCTCTGCCCGATCCCCAGCCGACTAATGCTATGCTAATGAGGTGCACGACACCGGCGCTAACGACGAGCCTAAGTGAAACAGACCAATTGTACTGTGAATCATCTAATTTGGTACAACAAAGTATCAGTTGGAAAAATCAGATTTTAAAGTACGATCTGACACACGGAAATATGAGTGAAAAATATGGGAATATGCCCTCTCCACATTTCTTAGAGCGAAATCTCACCCGAAAAATAGAATTATTTTTGGCTCATATAGAGGGAATTTTCTACTCTGAATCGGTGGGTGAATATTCTCACTTGAAATTGAAGAGTGAATTTGATGTACTCCACCGTCACGGGGATATATTATTCCTTCCAATCGAATGAAACATTCGCTCATGTGGAGTCTAAATCTTTCCTAAGTTTGAGCGAAACGTTCACTCTTGTGATTTCGAATGGCAATATTTTTACCATCGCAGCATGGAAGCGATTTAACTATCGAAAATAACAAGAAAATTCTTGAAAAAGTAAGAAAATAGTGAGTCAGCTTCAAAAAAGTGAGTCTTTTCCAAGTAATTTGTACATTAATAATTAAATTGTTTATTATACCATTCTTCTAAGAGATTGAAGACATTGACCCTGTAGTGACCTTCTTTGTGCTTGTTTTCAAACATGTTTAATGAAACGAGATAAAAACAATATTTGAATCCAGTTAAGCCATGTTACAATATATTTCCAGGATGTTAGAATCCCAGATTTCTTCATCATAAAATCAATTTTTGGTAAAAAATTTTAATTACAGATTTTTCCATTGAAACAGACCAGTCAATTTCGTAAGAGTAATAAAATTAATATTCCGTATTATCTAATTTAAGGGCACGGTCAAATGTGTTTGTGACAGCCAGTGCCTGTTTCTCCGACAAACCTAATAACAACAGCTTAAAAATAAAATCACAATTTTTCTTTTCACGAACATTAAAGTGTCATTGGACTGTCGTCGTTACTTTCTATTTTCTTTGAACTTTGTTTTGTTTTCTTTAAAGAAGCTAATTATTGAATATGATTTCTTAGCATCAATTTTTTTTTATGTTCAAGTCGAATAAGAACATGTGGGGAAAAATGAGATATTTCTAAATATGTGAAGAAACATGAGAAAAAGCAGTCGTTTCCATGTATATTGTTGTTTCGAGTAAAAATACGTCCATTTTTCACTTGTTTTGAGTGGGACCACTCCAAGAAATTTAGAGAGTGAAAAGTAACAGAAAACCATCGATACTTGACGGATCGATGACGCTTTGTGGCGATAAAGCGATGAAAAACGGGGGACTTTTTATACCTTCGGTAATAAGACTCAGCTTACCAGAACGAATAGCCAAGCTCGGCGGAGCCTTCGCTGGTCCACATATTGTCGATGTCCTCTTTCGGAAGCACATTGACGTACAGTCTTGTGTAATACTGCGCTAACCACGTGCAAGTGCTTGCTAAGCACATCAATACTGCAAGCAAAATAGTAATTGAGAATTCACGTCGTCGCGTATGACCGAGCTATCTGTGAATTTAAAAGGGAGACTCACGTGTTAAAATATTTATGAAATATACGCTAGGGATAGAAAGAATCTTCGATCTCGGTGAAGTAGCCGTGTTTAGAACCGCCAAGAGTGCAGCGAGCGCGGCCGCTACCAAAGCAGCCGATGTCGTCGTCAAAGTGCCGATCCAGAGGGACCAGGACATCACCGACGGGTCCTGGCGAATCATCTGAGGGACTGAAACATTATTAAATAAATATTTTAACACTGGCTGAGGTCTAATCAAGTTAATGACGGCACATTGCTTTCTTTAACGCGTTGGCTGCTGGCTTATCATCGATGACACACTTGGCAACAATAATATTATGATATATCTCTATTATAATATATATCTGATAATATCAATAATATTATAATAATAATAAATTTAAGGATCAGTCAATCATCGTCGACACATTCGACCCGTACAAAGTAAAACATAAAAATATAGCTGTGGCTTTTAATGGATATTATATCGACTTCTCAAAAAAATGGAAGAATTTTCTATACTTAAATGGTCAGAGGAATTTAACGATATATTTGCTTCCTGAATTTGAACTTTGGGCAAAGTGTTGACGCACAAGTTGCGTGTAATTAAATTACGTGCAGATCGGATGCATCGTCGTTTAACCCATTAGCTGCCACGATCCCCATTTGGGGCTCAAAACAAAACATAATTTGAGTATAATTATACTGTAATTATACAAAACTTTTTGTGCATATATATAACTTATCCGGCCAAACATTTCAAAAAAAAAATTTGGCAGTTAATGGGTTAAGTCTTAACCTTGACAGAAACATGTTAGGTCTACGAGGCCTTCTTTATTTCCCATTCCTCAGAAAAAAATTAAGATCCCCGTGTAACCACTGATATAATCAGTCTGATATAACGAGAACTGGTCTCCTTACGGCAGCCAGTCATCATCAAAAGGAACACAAACAACCACGATTTTCACAATTTTTTTTCGCGATGCAGGCCTGAGAGACCTATGATGTTGCGTAAGGATCGCGGGTGTTACCGTCAGGGTTAACAAAAAACTCGAAGACTGAAACGAGAGCAGCTCTCCCGATTAACCACGTCGCGTCTGCGAACACAATTCCGTGAAGTCCGCGTCTGAAAAATATGCGCGGCCTTTGGCGGGGCTTCGGACGTCTTTCGATAATGCGAATGCATCGCGCGCCGCGGAAACTAAAAGCCGCTGCTATCGCATTTTATGCTCGAGCGTAACGTACCGGCTCCGAGGAGAAGAAGAAAGGAAGAGAAGGAAAGAGAGAAAGAGAGAGAGAGACCGAGTAGTGGGAATATTTCGCGCATTACGCTTCCACGGTACGACGAAGTTTCCGCGAGACATTTCAACTTACGACGGCGTGAATAACGGATCATTGCACTCACCGGAGGCGGGTTGCTCCTAAGTAAAGTTTCGAGGCAGCAAAACCGCCCGGCTACGATTCCCGCCGAACGTTCTTTCCCTTCTTGGTTTTCGATTAATAAAAATTCGCAGTCCGTCTCTCCCTTTCTTCCCCGTGTTAAATCGATCAGCGCGCGCTGGAATCCGATACTCTTACCGCGGCCGGCATCGGCTGCAACGCTGATGATACGAGCACGTGAAAGTAGACCACGAGGCTTGGTCGTTGATTTTTGCGCGCGGGAAACTAGTTTCTGCGTCTATTGTCGCCGGCATACGTCTCGTAACTTCACGGTTTTTCTCGCCTCCTTTTTTTTCTTTATCTGAATACCCATTTGTTTACTTTTTTTTATTATACAACAGTTACTCGTCAAACAAAACGGCTTCTTAGTTTAAAGCTCCTGTGTTCTCTCACCTTGACTGTTCTTGTTTGATGACGTCAGAAGCGAGAAATCGCATGCCAATATATATCACGATATATACGTGGAAATAAAAGAATACTTGCATTCGTGATAGATTCAGCATACTTGTAAGAATGTCCGAACGCTTTCTTTTAACCTGAGCAATCAATAGGTGAAAATTTGTGCAACATGCAACTTGCGTTTTTAACTTATCTTCTCTCATGATTTCTGTTACGTTAATTTTATGATTATTTCTTAATTGTCCAGGTTAAGAGAAAGCGTCCAGACACTTTTACAAGTGTGCTGAATATATCACGAGTGCTATTTTATGCACATATTCTTTTATTTCCACGTGTACCATAATATATTTGAGCGTACGATTTCTCGCTTCTGACGTCATCAAACAAGGACAGCTGAAGTGAGCCACATAGAAGCCTTAAGACTCAAGATAGTCATTCATCAAGGCAGTCATAATGTGTTACTTAACCGTTTTAGTGCCGGGGGTTTTTAAAAATCCGTGTCGCCATGCAGCGCTTCGTTCATTCATCTGCGAGTAATGCCGATCGACGCGATCGCGCTGCTCTTTTTTTTCGTCGAAATATGCCGCTCGCGCTTCATTTCGTCAGTCATATCAGAAACGTTATACTAAACACTCAAAAGTTTGCGGAACCGAGCGCGTTGCGAATTGACGATCGTGACCAAACATCGCGGCACATTTCACCACAGTACGCGATCGCGCTGCGTGGCGCTAAAACGGTTAAAAGACGACGATCCATAGTGTACTCACTTTTATCGATAAAAGTGCCTCGAGAAGTGGCACAGGAACTATCCGATTGAGAAGCCACATTTAAGGCACCTTTGTCGATAAAAGTTCCAGAATATGGACAATTGTCTTTAAATAAGTCTTTAAATAAAAATTGTCTTTGAATAAGGCACAATGACTGTCTCATATCTAGAACCTTAAACTAAAGAGCCCTTCTGTTTATAATTGATGAGAAATCATTGTATAATATAAAAAAAAAGTAAACAAATAATAATGTAGATAAAGATTTAGGGCATAAAATATTGTCTTACAATTATAAGTTAACGATTCTACTAAAGTCCTTATTACAGGAACTTTACACACACACGACCGAGGACTTAAGACATGGAACATTATTTTAAACCGATAAGTCAGCCATTCTACTAAGGCTTTAAGAGTCTGGACACAGTCATGTTTAAGTTAAAACCGGGAATTCATAGGCATAATACACAAAACGTTCAAATACAACTAAAAAATGGGTGCAAACCAAAATAAATTACTAGATGATACAACTAGAGACTTGCGTCGACCTTTGTTTCTCGCAATCTTTGGCATCGTTTCAACTGGAAGCTTACTCAAACCGTGGCGGAGCCGGCCAGATATGGTGTCCAGACTCTTATTATAGGGACACTATACATACATATGCGTTTGTGTTCCCGAAACGTCCTAAGCGCGGTCGTGGAGCGGGCGCGTTTACCCTTCGAACCGATTAGAGCCGGCTGAATGAAAGAGAAACGCTTCTCACAGCGCGTGCCGGCGATTCTGTTGTTCTTCTCCGGAAGCGCCGCCGGCGTAACAGCCTGCGTAAAACTCGCTCGCGATTATTATGCATTGTTGCGCCGGCGAGATTCATCGATCGCGCGGGATCGACGAGATTCCTCGGCGTCGCGCGGCGGTCGCGATTTTCGCGCGCTCCGCCGGATGCGGATTATCTCTCGGCGCGTGTCCTTTACATCGGGATAATCGCCGAACGGAATGCCGTTCGCTAACGGTAATGTCCTGCCGCGTGTATCGATTTTCCGATCGGACAGCCGGCTGTGTGTTAATCGGCTTGCATACCGCCCAAGGTTGCGATATCCTGCGAGCGTTTTTCGCGCGAGCGCGGCTATGCGCGAAATGCAATCAACGTGGCGGCCTCGAGAGAGAAAGAGAGAAAGACACCCCCCGGCATACCGGACACGTGATACGTCCTCCAACCGTAAGCGACGTTTAATTCCTTCTTGCCCTGCAGCAGCCCGAAGTGAATCCTGCCAGCGCTCTCCTGAGGATTCGGCGTCCTCCACGGGCGTGCCTCCACCCAGTGCTGCGTGACCAGGGCGGCGCAGACGAGGCCGCCGCCCAGCAACGACAGGAAGAACGTAGCGAAGATCGTGCCTCTGCGGAACATCGACGTCATCCTCGGGTCGCGCGTTGACGGTCCTCCAGCTTTCGGGAAGTTCGCGAGCACTGGAAAGTCAGCGTGGGAACTCAGTGTTAGAGAGAGAGAGAGAGAGAGAGAGAGAGAGAGATTTCGCGTTCGTCGCTATGCATCGAGGGAGATCCTTTCCGAGGCTCTCCGTTCAAGCCCGCTGAAGATTCGCAGAGCGAGAGTCGTCTCTTCGAAGAGGCAAAAGGAAAGATCCGAGCCCGCTCGTGAAACGCATATTTCGCAAAACACGCGGCAAAGTAAAAAGAAGGCGCAGGTAGCGCGGAAAGCAAACGTCTCGGCGATCTCCCGCGGAATAGCGCGTAGTCTCGCCTCGCTGCATCTTATTAACATCATCCGCGCGTTACGCCGTACACAGGAGAACCGGCCGATCGCAGCCGGGAGAGGGGAAAGGGGAGGCCTCCGCCGGAATAACAGTAGAAATTTTTCACGCCGGAACGATCCCGCTGAAGTCCCTGCAAGAGTCTGGACGACGTACGTCTGATCTCTGATCGATGTGAGCTTCCGGGAGTTGGAACGATGTCAAAGCTTTCAGCCGAGCGACAGCGCAAAGATTCACCGTCGACCGAGTCTGCGAAGTGCGTTGAGAGAAAAGCGAATCTGCGCGCGCTTCATATTGCGTCTTTTGGAAAGCAAACTGATCAATGCAGGATGTTCGATGTGTAACTTTTGACTTCGTCATCCTCATGAATATTCTTACGCTTCGTCGTAAAATGAATTCCATCTCCACCCTGAGGAGTTTCATTTACGAAATAATTATGTCTTGTTGAAAAGAAATATCTGTTATACATGTGAGAAAAATCGTTGCCAGGTCATTGAAAACTAACATTCCGGTTTATTTCAATAGTGTTTGAACATTTCGTTTCTAGTTTTAAAATAAAACGTGGCGGCCACGATGTCCGGACTCTTATTACAGGGACTCTGGTTCCCCCGAAGACGCGGCGTCTGTGTTCTCCCCGGAGAGGATCCTCACGGATCGGACGGCCGGGGATCACGCTGGTCGGCAAGAACGGACGAAAGGTAATTAAGAGTAATCTCTCAGCTGAAATCTCTCCCCCGAAGAAATAGATAATCTCGGGAGCGCGATTCTCTCTTGGCGCGTCATCGTGCCCCGGCACCGTTCCTTTCCTTTCTCCCTGCTCTCCGTTTTCTCCGTTCGTTTAACCGAGCGGAGAAAGAAAGAGAACGAGACGCGTCGCGTGGCCATTGGCATAATCTACTCGACGACAGTCACCATTTAAATTATGCCACACACAGAAACGCCGCTTTCGCGAGCAATTATCCGGTCTGCTAGAGCCCAATCTGCGGCGTGGCGTGAAAGCGCCACGAGAGAGAGAGAGAGAGAGAGAGAGAAGCACGCGTGTTCGTAGGAGCTTCGCTAAAGCTGGGGAGGAGCAGACATGCACTGAGCGAACGAACGAAGAACGAACAGCAAACTTTCGTCGTTGGATTAGAAAAAAAAAACACGTCACGAATCCGAACGTTTCGGACTCGATTTGTTCATAAAATTTATCAAATGATTTTCAGATGATTTTCGCGTGCGTTCAGACGCGAATAAAATATTACACCTTTCGCACCTTTCGAGTTCCTTGGCGATCGCGGAAATAATCACCTTGACCGTGGCTTTCCGCGAAGTGGACCTGGTTGAGGCTCCTGGAAAACTCGCCCTGCTTGACCTTCTGCGAGAAGTCGGCGTTGCCGAGCTTCCTGGAGAACTTGACGCGGCAGTTGGTGCGCGGGGGCGGGCCGGTCCTCAGCAGCGACGAGGCGGCCGGCTTCGGTCGTTTGGCGAAGGTGTAGGGGATCGTGTAGGGCTGCGCCACGTAGAAGTAGATCGGCCGGTAGTCCTCGTGGAGCTGCTGCTGGGGTGACGGCAGCTGCTGGCTGAAGCCGCAGCCGTTGCCGGTGCAGCCGGTGCCGTACACGCTCGGTGCGCCGTTGCTGCACGCGTACGAGTTCGCGTAGTGCACCCCGTAGTGGTTCGCCGTTTTTCGCGAGTGACCTTCCACGGTTCTCGACGAGGGGGAGCCCGGAGGGAGGGAAGAACCGCTTGTCTCCCGTTTCTTCTCTCTTCTTTCCTACACTCGTGCCGCTCGTCGGACGGTCATCGCCGGGACGAGTCCTCTCACTTTTCCCGGTCCTTCTTTACTTGTCCGCGGGAACGACCTGTTCTTCCTCTCGCCGGTGCGATCATCCGAGATCACTTCCGGCAGTCGCCGCTTAGGCGATCCCTGAATAAAAACGTCGTCGTCGTCGTCGTCAAGAAACTCGCTCTCGACTTTCATTTATCAGAATGATCGTTCTCTCTCTCTCTCTCTCTTTTCCCACACGACTCGTCTTTTTCAATCGGTCACTCCAGGTCACTCTGCTATTACCAGCGCGCTACTCGAAAATCGCGGAAGTAACTTAGCATCCTCCTCTCTCCTCTCTCCTCCTTTCTCAAAGGCGACCGACGTCGCCTCGCGCGAACGCCGGTGTGTACTTACCTTTTTAATGGAAGAAGAGCGCTCTTTAAAGAGGAGGGCTTAGCGTTAATCTCCAGCTGAAAGTCGCGAGCCCTGCAACGACGTGGTGCTCTTTTTCCTCTCTCTCTCTCTCCCCCTCTCTTATCAGAGAAGCTATCGGAGAAGCCACAGGTGGTGGATTGCGGAATACCGTTCGGGCGCCACCACGAATCTTTTATTACGTATATTTCAATGGACGGACGGCTCTCTCCTTCTCTCTCTCACAAGATGAGAGGAGGATTCTCTCTCTCTCTCTCTCCCTCCCTTTCTTCTAATTGTCACCCGTGAAGCTTCTCTCAATGACGCTTTCCTTTCACGCGTGTCGTCCTGCTTAAATTACCGCGTCGACTCGCGTCCTTGTTTCCTTTTATCCTATCGTCTAATTCGTTTTTTTTCTCCGGCCTCCTCTGCTTCTACCTCGAACGTCGCGCGTGATTCCTCGGGATTCTAAAACGCCGACGCTTCAGAACCCTCCTCGGGTACCGTTTGATGTCGTGCTTCCTCAACAGTATCTTAAAAACGAGCGTATTTTCACCACATGAGGCTGCGCGGTCCGTCAACTGCAAAGAGAAATTAGGAAACGTTAGACGGTGACTGTAATGCGTCGGGTGATTAATTGCGTTACGTGCGTCGGATGTAATCCGACTCTCGATTAGAATCGACTTGGACAATTTCCTGGCGAAATTCCGCCTCTTCGTCTCCACTCTCCACCGCTCGGCCTCAAAATTTCATATCGCGGGGATAACAAAGTTCCTGCACTACTACTGGAATATAATGCTTTTGTATAAAAATTCCAGATTAAAATTGACAAACGACGGGGAACTTCGCCGCACCGAGAAAATAGAATTTCATTTCGCATTGACCTAAATTTCGAACGAGGAGGAATCGGGCGCGCGCGTCTTTAAAGCAAAAATACACAAATCCGTCGGGCTGTCTGCCATTTAAGGTCGCGCGAAATGGAATAAGGAAATTTCACCGGGGACGCGGAAAACGAAAGCGAGAGACGGATAGACAGAAAGACAGAGAGAGAGAGAGAGAGAGAAGGAGGATGCGGAGAATTTCGCATTTTTATCTCGGGTGTCCCGAGTCTCACACCGCCGCCGGTTGCGAAGAACAGCTACGTGAACTCTCGACGTTAAAACGAAATGCAAGCGGATTGCTAACGATCTGTAATAAACGAGCGGGACAATCGCTAACGGTACGATAAAATTTAAGAGGCGATATAATAACCGTTTCTCGTTACCCGACGTTTCTCAACTGCTCGTCGCAGCGCGAGAAACTTGGTCACTCGGGCATATCAAACATTCATTCGCGAGCCCTTTTCGTCACGAAATCTCACGGCTGAGAAATCGCAAAGTGGAGAAGCGTCACGCGTGCACTGCGGTCTCTTGTATAAATGAATATATCAATCTTTTAAAGATTTTATTCTCTCTCTCTCTCTCTCTCTCTCTCTCTCTCTCTCTTTCTCCGAATTCAACGTACAATAAGTTCCAAAAGAATTCGAATTCACTTCTTTCTATGTAGCTTGGAATGGCCCAATGAGAGAATTATTATTGTAATATAGTAACCGCTTGAGCAACTTTTTTATGCACTTCGGAGCGCGCAAACGATGTTTTGGAATGGAAACGGTTCAATGAGAGAGAATTCACTTTGAAAAATGAAGTATTTTTATTTTATTTATTTATATGAGAATTATTCCTTTTGTGTATAAAACTTTGCACATTATTTGCTGGAAAAACTATAACTACAATAATAAAAACACAAAAAGTCCAAAAAGAGCAAAAAAATATGATTCATGAAGAGCCTGCATTATTACAATATAACAAAAATATTATGCGTTATTATTAATATAATAATGCAGGCTGTTTATGAATCGTTTTTTCTACGTTTAATTTATTCTTATTATTATTGTAATTAAAGTTTTTCTCAGAAAATTGTGTACACAAAACTTTGTACCAAAGGGTATAAATTCTCATGTAAACAAATAAAAGAAAAATACAAGAAAAATATCCTATTTTTCGAAAAAGTTTCTTTCATTGAGTCGTCATTCGCACGTTCCAAAATGCATAAAAAAAAATTGCTTGAAGCTCACCGTACATTTTGAACCTGCGCTTCTCGCAAACGTCTCGCGCATTTAATTTCAGATAATAGCCGCGCGTGGTGCAGCGGGCCGGAAATTTTTCTTTCGGCGAGGTGTCCGCGTCTCTATCATCCTGGTTTATTTATCGATGTTGCCGGCGGGGAAAATGAATTTATACGCCGAGATTCGGTGCATAATGCCGGCTCTCCTGACGGAACTGGAGCGGCAATTGTCGCGGCGTGTGATGTATCGCGTCCGCGTCGCTGCGCATTATTAAAGTCGGACTTAAATACACGGCCCAAGTATTTTCCTATTACCGCCTTCTGTGTTAACCGTGACGATCTCCGTCAGCGGCGGGAGGGGAAAGAAATCCGGAGCGGGCTATCGCGGCGATATCGAGCGCGAGCTGCGCGCAATTTTCCACGTCGCTCGACAATCACCGATAAAACGGTCCGTCGACCTCTCTCCTCGGCTTTTTACCGTTTCCCTTTGTTTATATCTGTCGACCGTTCGACGACGGCGAGCGCGCATCACGCCGATCGTACTCGAATACATTTTCCAGCGTGATAAAGGAAAAAGAAATGCGGGAATGCGCGCGTACACGCGCGGCGAGGAACGGGTTGACGAGGTCGGGTGAATGCCGTTAGACCGTGTCACGATGCGACTACATACGCGTTGCGTGTAACATCGTCGTCGCCTAGGAGGAGGACGAGCTGCGGGAGAGGTGGGAGGCCGGAGGCAGCGGACAAAGAGAGAGTCCCAGGATCGGAATCTGCGCGGAAACGGACTCGCCGACGAAGAAAGAGCGAGTTGAATCGGCGCTAAACAACGATGATCATCCTCGCCTGGGAAGTGGACTTCCCGAAAATCCGAAAATCACCGGTCGCCTCAACGTCGTCACAACCGGTTCGACCGTCTCCGGTATTTCTTCTTTTTTTCTCTCTCTTTTTTTTCTCTTCGCGACGCGTGACGCAATTCCCTCGACACGTATCGGCCTTCGGGGCATCGGACGGAGAGATGCACCGTGGCCTGGCGCGTCCTGGCGCGAAACTAGGACACGCAGCCGGCCATCGGCGGCATATCTCTCCTCCTCGGTGCCCCTCCTTAATTCCTTCGCGCCCGCGGATTCTCAACGACGCGCGCCATCCGACGCGAGTTTCGGCTGTCGTCCTCGCGAAACTGTTATTAATCGTTCTAGGACAAATTCCCTAAAAACGCTGCAAGATCAATTTGTGAATTGAAAGAACAAAAGGGAAATTCATCGTTAGCAATACTAGTGATAAAAAGAGGGAAAGAAATGTATATTGCGATAGCGATGCAATAAGAAAGTGCGCGAGAGATGCATTTTGTTAACGAAGAGACGGTTTGAGAATGTTAATGTTCCGCGAATAGTTGGGGAATTTGGATTTAAATTGCCAGATCAGGATTTCTAATTTCAGGAGGGAATGAGTTCCAAAAGGCGATATCTGAGGTCTGGAACTAGTTCTGAAAAGCGGAGAGGGGGAGAGAGAGAGAGAGATGTCGATTCCGGTGTCCCCGGAACCAGGGGAGGGATCTATTTTGACCCAGAAAGCGGATCCGAGCGGATTCCGGGTGGAACTATGAGAGTCGCAACAATTGCGCGCGTGCACATATTCAAATGCAAAACTTGCGCACCGGCGAAAACGCGCGCGTCGATCGCGACACGCCGACGGTGCGCAGCGCGGATCTCATGAATAATTTAATGCTCGACATAGTTTCATTGTCGCGCGCGCTAAGCGGCATTGTGTACATACACGCGCGGATCCCACGTCGGCTCTGCTCATTATCATTACGCGCATTCCTCGCGCTTTATTGCGAAATGAGACAGGGGGAGAAAGAACGCGACACGGCCGACACGCGTGAATTCAACGGCGAAACCGGATCTCGCACGGTATGTCCCGTACGGTAAATCGCAGCCGGCCATCCCCGATGTCTTTCGATTTCGACGTAACTTCGACGTAACCGAGCGAACCCCCCCGGAGAGTTTTCCCGGGACAATCGCACCGGTGTGCCCGCGAAACTTCCAAATCACCACACTTTCCAGACGATCGATCGCCGACCGATGCCCACGCGAAAACTCGAGAAAGTTTGAAAGCGACCCAGCATTGCCTTTTGTCACGCGTCTCTGGATTGGCAGACGGGAGACTGTAGAAGGCGAGCTGTAATTTAATGGCTGTGGTCCTCTGTGATATCTTTCTCTCTCTCTCTCTCTCTCTCTCTCTCTCTCTCTCTCTCTTTGTTTAACGTAGAATACAAAAAGTATTGCCCGATAAAAACCCCAACTAACAGTAACACTACGATGATGTCGTTATTTCCCACTCAATGTAATCGTTACGTACAACGTACAGCATGTTACATCGCACTTGCATTGTTAAGTGAGAAATTATAATATCGATGTAATGTAAAGTTACTATTTTGATCGGTGTTTACCGGGTAATAAACATATTTTTACAACCATTGGAAAAAGGATGTGAGAAAATTAATCGACGAGCGTTATATCTTCCGTTCGCGTTATTTAGCGAAAAAAGAAGCTCCGTTTGCCAACGAGCTGATACTTAATACGGTAAAAGCAACGCAAGTGCTACCACGAGCGAGACGCGAAGCCGGCGGAGGTATTAAAAAAGATGAGGTTCCCAGATACGCGAAGGGGCATTGCGTTTCCGCGAAGAGTAGCGTGGAATCTTGCCTGCATCGCTCCGGCATCGTTTGCCTCCCGTTCCGCCGCTACCCAACGGCGTCTCTCCCTTGAAGTAAACGGCGAAACTCCGGAGGTAAGTGGCCTTGAGACACGCGGACCTTCCCGTTTCCTCTCTTCGTTGAATCTCGCCCTCTTCCTCTTTCCCGATCGCGGTGGCACTATTTCAACACCTCCGACACCGCTCGCGCGTAATTTCCGGAGTCAACCGCGCCGAGATGACGCGCGCACTGCGTGTCCCACGGTGTCGGCCGAACTGAATTTCACGCTGCCACGGCTCCGTCTCTTTATGCCTCACCTGGCGTGTACAGGTGCTGGTTGCAGGTGGCACCACCTTCCGAACCACCGAGTCTCTCTCGGCCGCTTACCGATCCTGCGAAACGATCGAGACGCCGGTTCGTCGAGGGTTCGCGCGCACTTACTTAGGGAGAAAGGAGCGGTTCTGAAACGGTAGGACATGGGGGTTTAGAGAACAATAACATGTACACTTATTGTAGGAAAAAAAAACTATATATATATATACACACATATATATAATCTTGCATAAAATATAATGACAAAATTTATTCGCGAATGACACAATGTATACAGCGTGTACGAGGAAATAGCGTGTACAACGTAACCGTGGGAACTTAATTAACGCATTCTCTGAGAAAGTGTTCCTCCACTTGGCTGGATTTAACCAATATAAAGAACATTGGCGCGCCGTTCCTGACTACGAATCTGAAAGACAAATTTGGCACACGTGAACGACAATTCTCACGCGTTTCTTATCGATAGAAAATACCCTCACCGTTCGTCTTGCAATATTTCGCCCAACGTTAATCGTATGTCTACCGCATGGATGACAGGTGGCTCCTCATTGCCTTCAAAATATACGTTTACATTCCCGATAATATATTTCCGCTCCTTATCCCATTCGAGGGGTTTGAATATTTCGATTAATTGTTCCATTAATCTACAAAAATGGAGAAATATATGTTAACGAGAACATAACGCGTGACTTAAGAGGAAGAAAGACCTTGGCAGTTAGAAAGCTAGAAACGTACGGCGTGTCTTCGTGAAATTTGTTCACAAGGTCACATTGCATTCTCTCTGGATACGAAATCAACACTGGCCACAACAATCTATTGTTCTCGTCCAACTGCACTCTTTGTATGTTTGAGTTTTCATGTTCCAGATCGCTTAATTCTAACTTATGTTGTTTCTTTCTTGCCAGAATAGTGATGCTTCTTTTCGAAATTGCTTCCAATAATTTCTTGCCCTCTTTGTCCAACGCTTTTTCTAACTTTGCTTGCTTCCTTTGATCTCTTTCTAAACGTCCCTATATTATTGCCAATGCTCTATGAGAACTCATATTTATATAATCTAAATTTACACACGCACACACAGATATTTCTCAATGTTCCTTACTTTTGCAATCACAGCATCATTTCTCAATTTTAAGATTTCTCTGTTAGTTGGCGTCTGATGGAGAAGCCTGTCGCATAATTCAATACATTCACCGTAATTTCTAATGTGAAAACTACAAGTAGCGGCACGGTTTAATGCTTTCGGGTATTCATGTTTCAAGTTTAAGGCCAGCTTACAATCATTCAAACTTGATCTGTAATTTTTCATTATTGAAATATGTAACAATTGCATCAATCATATGCCCGCTCCATCAATCATTTATTGCATAGAATTACCAGAATTTATACCTATAATTTTTCAGCATGAAATGTGCTGCTGCTCTGTTATTATATAACTGAGCCATCAATTCCTTATCATTGCATTTGGTTTTTATCCCTTCTGTATAACTAAAAATCGCAAGGTGATACTTTTTGTACTTAAAGTTGAAGTTCCCATCATCTTTGTAATTATTCGCCAGTTCTATACACAAGTATCAGAGACAGATATATCGTTGTGTGTGTGTCACAAAAACGATAAACGCTTTATATTATTAGGGATGCCCATAAGTAATGTCGTTCTTTTCAGATTGAATAAACATTGCCACCTCGTTCATAGACGTGATTTATTATTACATCACTTATATACTAATTAAATTTCTTGACATTTAGTGTGCTTATTGTGAAATTTGGAAAGAATTTGAGTGTAACGTTAATATTAGTTCTGTTTATCGCGCCTTGGATAAGCAGAACACGTCAGCGTTAGTTTAAAAAACTTGAAAACGACGATTTCGATCTTTCCAACAGACCAAAATCTGGAAAACCTATTGAAATTGACAAGGATCTTGTGTTGGCTGAAATTCAAGCTGATCCTAAGCAAGTCATTCAAGAATTAGTGACAAAGCTTAAAACACTATGGTCGTCACTATAAACAAAATAAAATTTTGTACAAGTATCAAAAAGCGACATTACGTATCCGTAATACAAGCAAAAATAGCGTATAGTTAAATCACAGATAACAACGTACCTTCGGGAGTATTCTCGTCTTCTCCATACTTCAGCTGTTGCAGCCCCTCCATCAACGGAGATAGCTCATCGCCGGGTTCGGGTGCCTTCTTCATGAAGAAAGGGTGCTTCTCCATTTCCTCTTGCCATCTGTCCTCCGGCCATCCTTCCGTGTATTCCTTTTTTTCAAGATTTTTCATATACTCGCTCAATTCGGCATCCAATTGAGCAGCGAGCTTTGAACGCTCCTCGTCCGTCCAGGTTTTCTTCTTTTCGCATGTTTCCATTATTTCTCGCTAATTGCAGCTACTCCTGGCGTATAGCACGAACGATTTTGTATACCGGATTCGATATGTTGTAAACAAAGATTGATCCAAAATCTAAGTCTGCCCGAAATACCGGTCAATGGGGGGGGAGGACATAACCTCAAAAGAGCACACTTGCTCAGCGACCTTCTCCTCCTCTTCTTCTTGATCCGTGGCTCCAGTAATATTCACAGAAATAAACCGAGCACCGTGTTTTCGACGATAAATTGTTAATTATTTACTCATTTAATTAGATGATTAAATAAGTCAAATGGCACAGACTAAATCTGACTCGATTACCGCCGGAGCCAGTACGTATCAGACTAACATATGTGTAGTTCAAACTAGTAACGAATTCAAGTCACGGGAACATGTGCATGCACCGTGACAGCCAAACAAAGACTCCCCGCTTTCGGCGACCACATGCCCACATGGACCTGAGGGCGATAAACTCTCCTGCTTTTATCGACCGAGAGTTGCCCAGCCTCGAGATGGCGCTACTTGTGTCCCTCGGAGATTTTTGGAATCTCGCGTTCCATGTTCGCTACAAATACGTAACACAGATCCGTCGGCGGATTATTGCTCGCACTATCCGCGTTTAATTAATCGTGCCAATTTGTTAATCGTAGGAACACGGCTCGATGGTATCGACAGTGAACGAATTGCGGATAAATTGCGAGTAAAGAGTGTCCAGTTACAGAATGGATCGCGATGCGCTGGAAAAGTCGTTTCGTGTTTCTTGCGACTTCGACCCGCTGAAAATGAATCTCGCTTGCGAATTCGTCGTCGCCGAGAATAAGAGATTCGCGTGTCAGTCGTTAGTCGCTCGCTCAAAGTGAATATTCCGCGAAACAGATCGTCGGAAATGTCACGCGAAGCATCGCGGGTTGTGACACGTGAGACTCAGGATTGAATTCGATACCGTTCGCATCATCATCCTTGATTTAGTATAAAGGACATTGTTATATAAATATTTCATCGTTTTTAGCCCGCGAAAAGCGGCTAGTTTGAGTAGTGAAAACGTGCATTCGGCTGAGCACGAGTTTTTAGGTCAAAAAGAGGCACTTTACCGTAATAACGAGCGGATTGCGTACGAGCATATCCGAATGGTATTAACGCACTATTGAATATTTCTGAGGGGTAAACATGCACAGTGCTGTGTAAATTTGAGATGTGTTAACGTTTGTATTCAACTACGAGTAGAAAATATTTGTTTAACAGACGCAAGCATTCATATTGCATATTATGAAATAGCACGAATAAATACACGAATAAATACGACTCTTTTAACGCGCTTCTTTCCGTACAGAAGCGAAGCTGAAAACTGGAACGTATTAACGTGTCATTTCGCCCGTACGGAAAAAAGATTACAAGAATACGAAGAAATTACTGGTATATTACAGAAGAAAAACAATAATTCTTTCGTATTATTGTAGTTTTTTCCGTACGTGAACAGCGCAGGAAAACGAGTATTGAAGACGGGCAATTTCCTTCGAAATATTCATACACATTCGCATGTATTATTCCTTCGCTTAATAGACCGTGGGCGTACTCGGGAGGGCGCAAGAAAGGAGGATAAAATGATAGAACGGGTGAAAAACAGGCCATATACCCGTGCAGCGTAAATTGGTTGGCTAACCATTAGCCAACGTTCGGCCAACGTTGGGTAACGGTTAGCCAAGCAATTTGCGCTGCACGGATACGAGTAGTAAAAACGGTGAAATATTTTAGTAAGTTTCGCGCGAATCATCGCCGGCGGTACCGAAGGTTCAGTTTCGTGCGCTTCACGAGACGAAATATCGTTAAACAGTCGTCACAAAGTATATCTCGCACGACGGTTCGTCGGGAGTGCCGAGTGAAGTGCTGTGCGCGCGCGTCGGTACTTCGAGAATCGCAATCGTCGCAGTTCCAGAATATGGCGACAGTTCCGAGACGGATCGCGACGCGGCAATAACGTATCCGAAAAGTCGTACCGTATTTCTCGAAGTAAACTCGCCGAATGCGAGTCTCGCGCGCGCTCCGTCGTCACCCGGAATTGCCGGGAGTAAGTTTCATGCGTCGGTCGTTAATCAGTCGAAAGTGAATATTTCGCGGAACCGATCGTCGAGGAGCACCAAGCGCCGGGAATTATGACACGTGAGGGCCGGGATCCAAATTGATACTTGCACGATCTGACGCGCGTCATCGCCGGGGGATGTCGAATCCTGTCTCTCGCATAATAAATATCAAAGGTATCAAACTGAAAAGTAGGAACGATCAGATACGACCATTCGGCACTTCCAACGTTGAACAGTCGGGATTGGTCGGGAGTGAAGTGCGGTGCGCGTCGGTGCTTCGAGAATCGCAATCGCGCAATATGGCGATCGATGCTGGAGCGGCAGATCGCGACGGTACCGCGTTCGAAGATCCGTCCGGCGTTCCTCGCGTTCTCGGGTGGACGAATCTCGCGCGCGAATTAGCCCTCGTTATCGAGAGTTATCGGCGAGTCTCGATACGTTCGAGATAAGCAGCCGCTGAAAGTGAACGTGTCGATTCTCGGAGCAACGCTCGACAAATCGTCGCGCGTTTACCACACATTGTATACAGCAGGCGAGCCGACCGAAATATCTATGGTCACGCGAGCCCGCTCGCCTTCGAGGAGTCGCCGCTAATAACATCTCGCTTCGTTCGCTTCGCGGAAATAATCTTTTCAATTCTCGCGCGAGTCATTTCGCACCCTCGCGCGCGCTTAATCTCGCTCATAAAACCCCGTATCGAAAGTTGGGGGGACACCGGCGAAGGAGCGAAGCCGCAAAACGCACGTCGATCTACCGCCAGGATGTAGTGGTAGGTGGGTCAGGGTGGTGGTGCGACGGCGAAGGTGGTAGGGGTGGAAACGCTGTGGCGACCGGAGCGGAACTCGCTCGTGCGTTTCCGTGGCTGCTCGGCCGGGCAGCCTCTTTGTGTTCGGGTAGGGGCAAGATGGCGCTCGGTGAAAGTCGGGCAGCTATTGGTCGATCGGACTGCGGCCGCCAGTCTCTCGAGAACAGTCGCTAACACGGCACCGCAGCTGACCGACCGTCGTCCGTGGACGGTAGGGCAAAAAAGAATACAGAGCAAAACACACACGGCTCGCTCGGCGACGAGTGTGATAGACCACTGGTGTGCGGAACGGACGAGAGAGAACCTCGTCGCCGCGGTATCGTCTAGCGAAGCTGCCACCGACGCGCGCGCGAGAACGAAGGAAAAGCCGAATACCGCGCGGACTCGAGACCACTACTTGTAGTAATCGTAGTCGTGACGACCCGTCGTAGTCGACGCGCGCGGAATTCGTGGGATCGCGTGTGCGTGCGGATCACAGTGCCAACGGTAGCCAGTGTACAGGCAAAGTGTGCGTCGACGTCGTCGTTGTGCTGCCAACGCCGCCGTCGGTGTTCTCGGATCCCTCGGCGACAGACGCTGGGATTTATCAGGCGCGGCGTCGTCTCCCCTAGGCAGCTTTCGGGGACTCCCTCTCACCACCCTCCATCGGGGACTTCGTATTGGTGAGTGCGAGAAGTGGCGATTCTCAATTCTCGTTTGGTAGGAGACAACGCACGCACGACGGAGCGGCCGTGTGTCGATCACGCGTCGATCGCTCTCTGTGCGTCGATGCGTGCGTGTTTACGGATTACGCGTGCGAACGTGTGTGTGTGTGTGTACGCACGGACGGGAAATCGGAGTGGTGGTGATACGGTGGTAGTGGTTTCGGCCCGATGTGGCTCTCGCAAATCCGTCGTTCGTGGTAATCGAGATCGTTCGTTGCTCCGAATTGATGTCGTGCAGTTTTTATAACGTGTGTACACTACGTCGCGCGTGTTGTCGGTTTACTCCGCGCTCTTTCTTTTTTTCCTCTCGCTCGTGAAATCGCGTCGTTTTTACGTTACGCCTGGTTCGGCCATTGCGAATAACAGACCAGCTCCCGTGTAATAAGGGGGTGCGTTCTTTTCGCACAGAGTCGAGAGAGACTCGAACCCACCGAGTCGCACCCCCCGTAGTCGTGATCGCGCGCGCGCGTTGTTACGCGTGTAAACGTGGTTGCGGCGGCCGCTCCTCTCCAGCCAAGAGGCTGTCCGTACAAGAGAGTCTCAACGTCCGAATATCTCCCGACAGTCTCTCCTCGGGTCACTTCGAGGACGACCTCTCTCTATCGCGCCGATCGAACGTCACTCGCGAAATGGCTCTCACGAAGTACTGATTAATTCGTACAGTCTACATAGGAGTATATATATGTGTATTATCTTTTTCTCTGAAAAGATTAAGTGTAGAAACTACTGCGAAAGGCAGACAAGAATATTGCTCATTCGTATTGGAGTCGAGGGGAGGAGACGATCGTCGTTACGACAGCTTGGCGTTTCCGTTACGTAAAAAGAGTGGCGTAAAAATTCGTATCGTCGGCGATAAAGTACCGATGACGTATCTTCGGCAACCCGTCGCAAGGCGTGCGTCGAAGAAGCTCGTATCCTTCTCTTTTTACTCTTTCTGTCGTCGGGAAAAGTCCATTTATTGTCATATACTACTACGCTGGTCGCGTAATGAGAGTATGCGCGAAGCACGATCAATTTCGGGAGATCTGCCCCGGTAGTACGCTGCGAAAGATGTCGCGCCACCCCCTCGCTGTCGCGATAGTTTATTATCCTTAAGTGCTGCTCCGGAGTGCCTCTCTTTCTCCCGTGGCGCACACACTCGTCACGCGTATTTATTTTGCGCGCACGCGTTCGCGCGCGTTATGCGATGAATGAGCCGCGTTCTCTCTTTCTCCCGGTGGGAACCAGTTCCGATTTACGCGGTTACGCGTCATACGCTTATTACGCGCTTCTCCTCGGAGTCTGCCAGAGAGAGAGAGCGTTATCGAGCGATGCACCGTTTTCGACGCGACGATCGTCATTTCGGTGGCGGCGAAATTTGCTGAAATTTCACTCCTGAGGGTCTATCCTTTCGTGTCGGCGACAATACGGACATAACGCGCGCGACACGGACGAGTGCTGACGAATGAACGCCGTATACCGTGGATGTCGCAACACCGTGGCGTGTGCTGTCAAACCGCGCGTCTGAAATTACCGGCGATGTGACATACGCGGCAAGCTTGCGAATTTTCGGCGAAACTTCGTCGTACGGAAGAGCGAACGACCGACCGCTAACCACCGCATCGGAATCACGAATCACACGCGCGACTCGCTCGTTAATACACCGTCGATGTCGGTCACCGTTAACGAGCGTGCGTTACGTTAGCGCACGAGATGGACGAAACGAGATCGCGAGAAAGAGATACAGCGCGAGGAGAGCGCGTTATCTCGAAATGTCATCGGTCTCGAGATTCCGTTTGCTGAAACATCCGCGAGGCAGATACTATTCCGACGACATTCCCGAGGAATCGTTAAAACCTGGATGGAGAGAGAGAGAGAGGTAGGATATGGAGAAGGAACGAAGCGCTGTTTCGAAAATGTATTATCTCGAATTTGTGCTCTGTTATACGCGGAATGCGCCGCCCGCGCTCTCGACCTCAATCTCAAATTAATGAAGATTAAGACCGGGTATTCCGGGACACACGCTGTACATTGTATATTGCGCATTGTATGTTTCGCACGTGACGCCCAGCCCTCTCTCGAATCGCGATTATGCGCGTTGTTGTTTCTCTCTTTTTTTCCTCCCTCAGCGAATTTCTGGATAACCCCCGGGATATATTCGGTCGAGGCCGGTATTTTTCTACCGGTGCATTTTTCGGGATAATGAATATTCCTTGCGCACCGCATTTATAAATTCAAGACTATGACATTTGGAGATTTCTCGTTTCCGTAGCCTGATTCTTCTCTCGTAGCAACGTTGCCTGCCTTTCCAATCAACGGTCTGCCGCCGATGTTGATTTTCCTTACCTTTATTTAAACAGAACGAAATTATTATTTGAAAAAAAAAATATATCTATATATTTATATAGAAAAATGCGTCGGTAGCCCGCGCACGCGTCATGCATATCGTATTGCCGTATCGCGCACAACTGATACAAACGAGAAAAGGAGATTATTGTGAAATGAAACCCGAGCCCAGGTTAATAGTAACGATAAATCAATCACCTCGGTGATAAACGCGGTTCCAATTTCCTATAAAAACCTATCCAATTTCGATAATTTCGAAATGAATTTGAAAAGGGAATCGCACGAGACGCGCTATTGATCTCTTATCATGTTATTAACAACCATAAATAATCCGCACAAAATGTTTCGGCGCGATAAAAAAGGACATAATATTTGGCCGATGCGATAATTGAGCCTTTATTTACAATCACGGATTCGCCGGTGTGTGTGAGTAGGCGTGTACGTAGCGGCGGGTACGCCGGTGGAGAGGATGGATATAGGTGGCTGAAAATGGAAACGTACGTCCAAATTGTCGAAACTGTTGTAGTTTCATCGGCTTTTCGACGTGCCGATAATTCGCAGCGAAGTGACTAATTAACACCCGTGTGAGACCGGTTGGCGTGCGCTCACGTTCACGCATGTAAACCGCGCCGATGCGGAGGGATATTTAAAAAATGCATAACCGTGACGCTGCGTTTTTCACCCGGGGGTTCAGCTTTCGGCGTTTCGTGCACGACTGTCCGCGGTGCATACAGGGTGTGCTCGGCGGCGCCGCGTCGTCGGCGTGGCGATCGACCGGCGGCGCTTTTTCAAACGATTGTAAATGAAGGATCGCCGATAAATAACGAGATCCACGTCTCGTTTCGGCTCTTCGATGGATATTTAGCTCGACGATGAGACCCGGTATTATTCATCCCGATGCCATTGCTGCGTTGTCAATGGCGGTGGGCACGGACAGAGCCCTCTCTATTATTCCGAAACGGTTTGATCGATCGTTTATCTCAATATTGTTTAATCGAACGTTCGCTCGTTTAAACAGTGTCGTTTGGCAAAAAAGAACCAATATTCTGTGCACACGTCGGTTTGCTCTTGCTCATATTTTTCTCCTCTGTCAATCACCATCCACCATTGCAACGTGTATGTCTATCTGACTGTGTGTGGGGGGAGAGAAGGGTGTGTACCTCCAACGAAGGATAAAACTGCCAGTGTTAAAAATTTTTATTCGTCGCATTCTTTTATTTCATTTACGCGACGCTGTGTATAACGAGTGACCTTTCTTCGGGCGCTGTTTTTCACGCGTGAAACGACAACATCGAGCGAAAGCAAATCGGGAATAAAAACGGCACTGAATTTCCGTGTACTGTTTCCTCGATTATGTTAAAACCGTCGGGCTTAATGGACGCGTTTCTCGTTTAAATCGAGATCTTGTTGCATTTTGCGACGTGCGAAAAAAAAAGAAAGCATTCTATCTGGTGCATCGAATCTTTTTGTCGAGATTCACGGTCCACTAATTGCCGAAATATACGCTTTTCACGCGTGACGTTCATTGTCTCTCTGGACAATTCGACGTGTCGTCGCCGTCGACATTGTATCGCGAGAAAGTTCGGTGGGGAAATAAGTGACTCGGAAATTAAAATTAAAGCCTTCGGTGTCGAGGGCATGTTTTCCTTTCTTGCGCTCGATCGATTTGTTTTGCGAAAATGTACGGGCCTCCTACGTGCGATTCCGCGCTGCGAGAGTCTTCCTCCTTTCCGTATTCCGTAGTGACGCCAGGAGTATCGCGAAATAATGTATCACGCAGGTAACAGGTGTTCCCGCATTTTCTGTTCGTTTTGCGAAGAAAAACACGTGCTTCGCTTAACCAGCGTGCCCACATACGCCGGTCTGCGGCGGCCGCGGCTTTACGAGCGTACGATATAGCCGTTCTTGTCGTGATACCGCTGGTATTTTGCCTATAAACAATTTTCTTAATACAGCTAACAGTACCATCATGCCGCAGAGATGAGGTATAATTCATTGCCGGGTCCCGGGAGAGGGGGGGGAGATGGACGGAAAGAGACGAGGAGAGAGAGAGAGAGAGCAAGAAAAACAGGCTCGCGGAATAAATGCTCTTTAAACGCAATTGCACCGCCGCCGCAGTGTCCGTGCGCAATCGCATTAATTTCTATGAAGTCGCCAGCTCGTCGGAATAGGAAGTATACGATTATTTCGCGCGCCAGATTGCCTTTCTTCGCGCATTACGCTCGCGTCCCCCTGGTGTAAATCCCGGAATCCTCGGAAATGAAAGGAACGTGAAATTCAGAAACGTGGGAAGAACCGGGGGGGATCGTTAGGTGACGTAAACAAATTATACGCTCGCCCTGAGACGTCCCCGCCGCGCGGCACGCTCTTTCGCTTCTTCTCGTTTCGAGAGCGAGAGAAGAATTTCATTCTCGCGCAAAAAGAAAAACAAAAAACGTGTATCGCAGCGACCAACGTTATCGGGATTCAAAGAGACGCGTAAAAAAAAACAAATCTGGCGCCCAATGGAGCGCGATTAACGGCGGGTAACGTTTTACGCGCGCGACTCCTCGCGTCGATCCGCGCACATCCTGTTCGGCGCGGCCGAAGTCCCGATAAATTCGATTTTCGACCCGGCGGAAATAACGCGCGCA